TTAGGCTTTTTATTCGGTGATATTTATTAAATAATATTTTTGTCTAAAAGTGTTATGAAAATTTGTTGATAATATGTATTTCTTCTCATATGAAATTGAATGGTGAATTTTTCTAAACATTAAATTACGGTTAAAAAAGTACGATAATAATCAATATTAAACTAGACACAATGGAAAAAAAACAACAAAATAAATTTGATGGAATAAGGCAATGCAACACATGGACGATATTCTAAGAAGGTGTGCCTCCTAGGAGGACTTTTTATGTGAAACTGGTCCCTGTTTAGGCATTAGACAGGTAAAGAAAACTCAAAAAACTCCACATAACCAGCCAGTTTGTCATGTGAGATTCCGTAACCAACTATAGTTTAGTGGTTTTATTTATTCGGCCATTTCTGGGCTATTCTAGAGGATGTTTTCATGTCTTCATTAAAAATGCACGAAATTATGTAAAGAACTCGCCATTGTGAGCTGCGTAAAAAAAAATCGAACTTTGTGTATGGTATTTGATTTCGATAAAATTAATAAATGGGCATATTATTTTATATTTTATTTGTGTTTTATTTTAAAGAATATTAAATATTTTGAATGTAATGTAATTTGAGTTTTCATTATCTGATTTCATTCCTATCAAAGTTATTGTTTTATTGTTAGGACAGTCAATAACTCTAAACTGAATGACCTACTAGTTATTCTAGTCGTTAAGATGTTTTTAGTCACAAAATTTTTAGTGCCGAATATTTCTAATAATAAATTGTTTAAATTTAAAACCTAAGTTTATGCAAGTTAAAAGTTTAAATTGTTCTACGCTGGACACAAGAAGAGTATTAATCTATAAATTGCAGCCATGATAACCAAGTAGCGTGGTATCTGGTATACACCGTGTGAAAGGTTCAAATTCGAAATTTATCCGTATATTCGTGATTTCTCGTAAAAAATACGAGTAGTCACGTAATTTTCTCTCACCCATAGTGATCGATTCAATTGCAGATCTGGCCCGTAGATTAGTAATGGGCATAATTAAGGCTTATTATATAACCTAAATCACAAAATATATCAACGCCTCGCGTTTACAAATTAGTCAATGAATTCGATCCAGGTGGTCTCATATAGAAGCAATTCAGTGTTAAAGGTCCTCTATGGAAGGGAGAATATTGATATTTTTTAAAAAACTGAAATTCTGTGATGTTTATTATTAATGATGATGATGGATACGCAATTTAAAAAGTACTATAATAAAAACAAGAACTTCGAGAACAATTATTTTTCTTTAATTTCCAGCAAAAATAACTTTAACAACAGAAACCTAGAACTGATTCACCAATAACTGACTAAGAGTCTAGACTGCAGGAACAAGAATATGATTGTATGTAATCATTATTATTAATCCGTGGGGTAGTCTTATTTTCCACCAAAAATTTAACAAATATATATGTGGCAGTATATCTTTTGTTCCCAAAATATAGTATAAATTATGGATTAAAATATAACAATTTTCGAGTAATTTTTCAAATAACTCGAAATATTTATAAACTATGAAGTCAGAATCAAAGCGTTATATGTCCAGAGCACTAAAAGTTGAGCAAAAAAGTTGCTATTTCAATTTTTTAAGTGGCCGATTGGATATAAAAAGCCTTTTTTTTGTATATAGCACCAAGGTTTATCGTTTCAGAATGCTAAAAATACTTGGATTTGTTTTACATCAATTTTTGTTTGGCGCAATCGGGGCATAATATGTCTGAACCATCCGTGATAAAACCTTTTCCAACGAGGGATAAATTACAGGAGGCACATAGGAAGCAATCGTTATGCCAGTTGCGATCTTCGAAAGATATAAAACGGGTTCCACCAATACCTACAAAGCAAAAATTTCGGTTTATAAATATGCAATACGTTATGACACGATTATGTAAAAGATTCTAATATTTACCTGTAATAGGTTTATTGCATGCATTGCATCTTTTAGCAAACAATTCACCAAAACATTCTGCACAGTAAGGTTTTTCATCACGAGATGTAAACCGCTGTCCAGCAAGACACATTTCACAATTTGTGCAACAGAAACATTCTCTGTGCCATGGTTCGTTTCGGTACGTTACGCCACCGGTTGTGATAATCTAGAAATATTAAATATTTTATTAATCAATCTATAAATTATCTAATAACAGTTTAGAATGATCTCGATACTTACTTGATTGCACTTAACACACCGAGTTGAGAATTTTTGCTCGTAACAAGTGGTACAGAAAATATCGCTGTCGCGAGGAATAAAACTTTTGGTGCCAATTGGATTGTTGCATTCGATGCAACAAAAACACTTCTCGTGCCATTGTTTTCCTTTATATTCCATCTTTTTGGTTCCTAAAGATTAAAATCGTAAATATGAGTGAAAGTTATAAATAACTTTATAATGGTCCTTATAAAATTTATACCTGCTCGAAAGACCTCATTACAAGCATCACATCTACTAGCGAATGAATTATCATAACAATTGGCACAATATACTTTTTCGGACTTTGAACCAAAAGGCTTGTCAACTAATGACATTTGGCATTTGTTGCACAAGAAGCACGATTCGTGCCAATGCTTCTCTTTGTAGGAAAGGTCCTATAAATAATAATATAAATGAATTATATTTTTAAAAAATCAAGTAATTCATGTATAAATGTTTTATTATAAAATCATTACAGTGGTACCTCAGGTTACGAACGCCCCAGCATACGAAATTTTCAGGATACGACATGAAATTCGAATACAGTATATTTTTTCTCCACGATACGAACAAAAATTCACCATACGACGTTACATTAGTTCGCATTTTTCATTTGTTTTTCTTACTACAGTTATTTTTTTTAATGTATTACTTGGCTTTAATTTGAGTATGTTTTTCGCGTTGGAACGAATTATTTGGTTTTACATGTAATCGTATGGGAAAAGATGATCCACCTTACGACATTTTCATGATACGATCTCAGTTTCGGAACGGATTAATTTCGTATCCTGAGGTACCACTGTATTTAAAAATTTCAAATATTCACATTATGCATATTGTATTCAGGAATGCACAAAATCTCGTTATTTTTCAAATAAATTTATTTATTTTTATAAAGAAATTCTACTGTTTTAAATTATTTTTTTAATGATTGTATTAATTAAAGTAAGATGTAGCCTATGTATAGGACAATACGGTTACATAAACTGTGTGTATAATCGATGAAGTGTATAGAAGTATCAAAATAAAATTGATGCATATCTAAAAGAATATCGATATTTATTACTTAAGATATTATTAATTATCTTAAAAATAAGTTAAAAATAATTTTTTTCCTTCTCACGTAATTACTCAATTTGCAATTGTCATTAACTGGTAAAAGCAATGAAGAAGAATCAATAGAAAATAAAAATTTTTTGGTTTTCTGTGATAAGTATTTATAGAAGTCTTATCATATCCACTTTTAACGTCCTTTAATGTCCTTCCAACCTCTTCCAACGCAACATCAAAAATAGAGTTTAGAAAACAATGAAGTGCTGATTGTATGTTCATATATTAAATCTCAGACAATTGTCAACGTAATTGTGAAATAAACTGAAATTGGAAATTTCCCCATCCCTTAATTACTATATAATAATTAATAAATGTATGAAAATTGCTTTTTAATGGAATTAATTCTGTAATAAATTATTAAGTCTTGTATCTTAATTAAAGCTATTATGTTCAATTATTTCTGATTTATTATATTAAAAAAATTGTTTTAAATATAAAAATATCACAGAAATGTTTATCTGTATAAGTTTCATTTTCTCGAAAATTTCTCACTAAATTGTGTTAAGGGAACAAAAGCGTAACATTTTATTTTTATTTCTTCTTTTTACAAAATGTGTGGCAGCTGGCATTTTGTATCTCTACAAGTTCCAAAACTGAAATACAGTATTTCCTGTTGAATATTTATTGCACGAAGCTTTGTTTCAATCTGCCAAAATCTATCTATTTACAGCAGATTCTAATTTAGTTGCTCCAAAATGTGTGGCATTATTATTATTAATTTTGTATAATTTTATCGTTGTTATTTTATTAAAAATATAATTAATTGTTAATTTATTTCTTCGATCTATTTCATTACAGTTATTAGGACTTCATTACGTATTTTTGAGTAATATCGACAATTAAATTAAATTTAAATTTAAGATATAAATCTATAAAGTTATTTATTATTTTCATAGATTTCTATAAAAATTATTAATTGTTTCATTTGAAAATTCTCCAGAATTATCGTAATAATTTTATCGAATAAGAACCAAAAGTTTCTCTGTTTAAACCTATCGAATTACATTATTTGTGCTTAAAAGTATTGAAAACGTCTTCTTAAAATGAAACGTAAAGGACGACACTTGTTCTTTTCGGTAATTAAACTAGAATTTTATGACTGCCGGCATTTAAGAAAAAAAGCTATTTTTACGGCTATATATACCACTGTTTAATTCAAAATAGATTTTACAATAATTATAGCGATGTTACTAGAGGTACACTCACACACTTGGAATGTAGTACTCTATTTAAATCAAAGAGTGCAACAGTACTAATAGCTCCTCTGGCTCTTTTCCCATAATCTTTATTATTTATAATAAAATCGTCTAAGAAATAACGATTATTATAACTACAAAATAATAAATTATAACTTAAAACAGTTGTAAAAGAACTTAATCATAATACGTGCATATTAAAGTTTGCATATATATAGCCTATATATGTATGGAATTATGTGCATTAATTAGATATAAGTTATTACTACCCGTCTGTAATTGATGCGAGCAATACATTTGCAAAGTAAGATTGAACTTGTATGCTTGAGTAAAGAAACAAACACAACTGCAAAGGAATGCCATCCCAGATTATATTCCTGTTTCCTTTTATAACCAAGACAAAAATCAACCAATGAGAAGATGCTTGAGAACGTAGTGTGTTCCCAAAACGGAACGTGTTTTGGAAAATAAAAGGGATAAAATTTGTAAATGCGAAAAACTTAACACACAAGTATTAGTGGAAGAAAAGTATTTAGCTATATCTGTATTTCACCAACATATACAGCCTACTTTTCATATTGGTCAATGATAAGCGAGCCTATATACGGTATTAAAATATCTATAATTCTTACCTTGGAGTCGATACCAATGGGTTTCCCACATTCGTCGCAGGTGTTGGAAAACACCTGTTCGTAACATCGGACGCAATAGGGGTGTTCGTCTCTCAGAACGTATCTCTGACCAGTCAACGTTTCGTCGCATTGCCAACAGCAGAAATGAGTACTATGCCAATCTTTGGACATGGCTTTAGTATATTCTCCGGCGAATATGAGCTGGAAAGGTAACAAAAAATTATAATTAACAACGTCTGCATATTTTTAATTGTGCTGAACTGGGATTTCTGTAACGGCGAAACAAGTAGGCGTTAAAAAGCTGTGCCAGGAGTAGGAGGGGGGATAATTTTAGAAATATGACTCGCCATACCGTATCAGAAGCGTTGTCCTTTCCATCGCAAGTGTGTTTAGCGATGTTGTCAGAAGGAAGAGAAGAGACGAGAAAGGCGTCGGAGGTACGACAAGGACCGATCGAATGGCGCTTTTTATTTTTACGTAAACTTTCTCTATCCTGAAGGCCGATGAAATCGTAAAAGGCAGTTTTGTGGTAAACAATAAATACGATAGAAGCGAAGGAAATTAATAATAATAATATCGATTGTAGAAAGGCCATCAGATAGTGAAAGATGCGTCTGGGAGCAGGAAGTGGTCGTAGATAATGAATCCATGAGATAACCTTGCCAACAAAATATTTGGCAATGGCCGTGATGAAACATAGAAAAAAGCGTTTCTTATCCGTGTAAGAACTGTCAGGAAAAGGTATGATTATAATAGGAACGTGTGCAAACTGTTGGCAGAGGGGATGGAAGGGAATTAAATGAAAATCCAATGAGATGGAACAAATGGATCTCGAGTAAGTCATAAAAATCTGCACCTGTTACTTTCCAGAAAATGTAGGCCGGAGTACCTAAAAACGTAAATCAGAGCCCACTGGCTGTTATATAATCTTCAAAATCAGGTTTATGGATCTAAATTTAAAACTTTAATATATTACACAACTTGGAAAGATTAATTCAGTAAATTAAACGGTTCCTCAATGAGCTTTATCGGCACATCAGCTGACGGCACTAAACAGTACTCAATTAAAACTCAAACTATCAGATACAGTGCAATATTCTATTTTAGTCCTTTCAATGATTGCCATTCAGAAAACGAATGGCTCTTTAAGATGTTCGGATTATCAGATCCCTCGCTAATTGTCAAATAACTAATTAATATCAAAGACAAAAACGATTTAATCTTAAAAAAAGTATATAAATTGTAGCTTTGTTTAGTTGTTTCTATGAAATTTATTTAAATAATTTCAGCTAAAAATAAAATAAAAGTCATATTGCCATATATCAGCTTACATTTCTAAGAAAACTACTAATTTTATATTTAGAAAACGTTTTAAATTATGACCGTAAACATCATTGCAACACCGTTCTTGTTAATACTAAAAATATATAAATATGTTATTCAAATTCTTTTGTTTTACCTGAAATAATTTGTTTTTCATTTCAGATTTAATTCTTTTTTAAATCGTTTAAATCTAAGTATTAATTCTTTTCATAGAATAATTCATTATACTTAAGGAATGTGCAGGATAATTTGTTATTCTGTCTTTACAGATTATTATTAGATCTAAAATTAAATAAAAATTTCTTATTGTTATATACAAAATTCGTTGTAATTATCAAGAATCGTATTGTTAGAGTATGGACGTTCTGGTGTTTCTGTGGAAGGCCTTTGATAGCAAATAACTCTAGAAATTATCAAAATGATTTCGATGCTGGTAATTTTCCTTAATATTTCGTATCCTTACCTCATTTCGTTCTTCGGGAACTCGACTTTCATCGACTTCTACTTCAACTTGCAATTTAGTCTTCTTCTTCGTCTTTTTCACTTTCTTGATTTCGGTATATTCTTCCATGGCTGTCGTTTGCAACAATTCGTCTTCCAGGTACACTCAGAGTGGGAGGTGAAACAGGTGACCCTCGACACCCCACTTTCGGTCACGTGCCTGTAGCGCACGCGAATAACCCAATAGGTGCCGTGTGCAAAACTTCCGAGGTTTAGACTTTCACACCAAAGATCCCTTAAAAGGAGAACGAAGAATGTTGTTGATAAAAGGCACTCCTCCACTCTCGCTCCGCCATTTAATAGTCGTTCGATGAGAAAACAAACTACACTATATTTGGAACAAACTTCGATACTTAAATAATTACTCGGGTTGACAAACCTTAGTAACTTCGTTATTCTTCTTTTGTTTGACGCCTGTCGAATCCAATTGTCAAACAAGAACTCATAAATCCGTTATGTAACAACGACTAATTCCAAAATGCTGACGTAAGACAGATACACGATCCATCTTTACACATCTTCCCGGAGTGTTTGGTTACCTTTTTCTTTTCCTTTTTTTTATTCCTTTCCTCTTTCATAAAGCCAGTAAACAGATGACAGCGGAATTATAGTTTTCATTCATTACGATTGATATCCCTCATAATTTATAAAGTGCAGAACTCATCCACCTGACGTTTCGTTTAGTTATACAGCCAAACATAACATTTGAAGTTTGCCAGAAGCTACTAGAACTATCAGTTTCAGCTTCAAACTGAGTTGTTTGTTTTATCAATAATAAAGATACTTAGTATTTCTTTAATAATCCCTCTTAACTTACGTCAATCTTATATTCTAGAGACCTCAATACATCACATAAGGAACCCTTTAACGTATAGTTCTTGGGGGATACAATAAAAGACGCCTTTCAGAGCTGTACTATTGTTAATTCATTGTTTCCAGCCATTTTATAATTAAATCTTTAAATAATACTTCAGTAGACTAGAGACGTCTACGAAGTGAATTGAAAAAAAAAGGTATTTTTTTCACTTCATTAGTTCTTTTTTCGTCACTCTCGCCATCTAGCGAACGAATTAGAAACGACATGTAAACAGTAATTCGATGATCTAACATTCATTTGTTTATTTAACGACGGATGTTAACAGTTTAATGTGTTTAGAACATCGCAAAGTTTACTATCTGTTCGTTAAACAAATAATTATATTATATTATTTAATTTATAAAATGACAAAAGTTAAAATCTATGGGTACAAAATTTTGCCTTACAGATAAACCGCATCTGTTTAAGTTACATAGACACATGTATATGTCGAGCTTATAATACTTATAAGGAATTCCACATAAAAGTTAAGAATGCGTGTATTTATAGATATATTAATCTCAGTTTTAATAGATGTAAGGATTAAAGAAGGGATCTTTAAAACGGGGATAAGCTTTATAAGTGTTGCGAGACATGACCCATGCTTTCTTCTAATGCGATGGTATGTATACTTAACGGTTCTATTTACAGCTCCTTGAGTAGAATTGCTTTTTTCTATTTCATTTGATGCGTGTTCTTATATTAAAATATAGAAAATTACAAAAGTTTAACGAATTTTTTTTCGAAATTGTTTAACGAACAGATAATAAACTATGCGATGTTCTAAATATATAATAAATAAATATACTCAAACCTGTAAATGACATGAAAGTTTTAAAAAATTGGCACACAAAGTTGCAATGATGAAGGAGAGTTTTTCATCTCAGCTAACCGCTACATGTTTTAAGAAAAATTTATATAATTTTTCTTCTCCCTTGTCGTATATTAATAAAATTATTATATCTGTTTCTTTGTATGAATTTTTAATATATACAATTCAAAGAATAAGAAACCTAATTTCCTGTACATGTTAAGCAGCGAAACTGGACCGTAAGCGCATGAATTGAATGAAAACAAAAGGAATTTTGCATCAAAATTTGGGAAATATCGAGTTCAACTCGAATAATCTCAGGCATATCTTGGATTCTCTTCTGATTCCATTCGGTTATATCACATTAAAGTCAATAATTTCCAAATTAAAAGCTGTTTTCTCTTTATTTTTGCTTACTTACCTACAATCTATTTAATATATAGATATTTCTGAGCAATATTTTAAAAACAGATTGAAAATAATCATTTTTATCAAATTATTTCTAATATAATTGAAAATAAAAATATATATTTTAAGAAAAAACCTTCTAGGATACTATCTATACTCATTGGAAATATTTGGATTAAAATCTGAAGGAAAGAAATTAGTCCAATCATAAAATTGCAAATTAACAATAAAAACTTTACTGTCATATATGTTGCCCATATCACTTTACTAACATTACGTAAATAATAAAATAAAAACATTTAATTAGTTCATAATTACAGTATATAGCATTGGAAATTCTAATAATTGTGTTAAATAATAATAAATATTTACAAAAAAAAATTGAATAATATATACAAAAAGATTTGTAATTATTTTTTTAATATTTAAAACATCGATAACAGATTTTTTTTTTAAATTTTACGATAAACTTGTAAATGACATGAAATTTTTAAAAAATTGGCACACGAGAAGCAAAGTTAATTCATGCAGAAACGTTGTCAAGATGTCGTATTTCTCAGCTCGTTAATCACGGGTTCAAGTCCAAAATATTTCACTTCCATTAAATTGTATATTTTTCATTTTTACTATTTTAAAAGATGGGGAATTTACCGTGACTCACTGCAAGAACTTAGTGACTCACCAGATTGCTCAATGATCAGATAACCAGACTTCTTATAAGTAAGTTACATTAACCACAAGACGTATTTACATTCTAATCAGTAGCAATGCTTGTTTCTGATTATAAACTGTGCTTTCTGACCACGAAGCAGGAAGAACTTCATACACAGTATAAATATTAATCACCATACTAAATATAACTACCTGAGATGCATTTGACTTTAAAAAAAAAAAGTTGGAAGTTTACAAAGAAAACACTCAATTGGATAAATATTTAAATCACTGAAAATGTAGAAATCTTTAAAACGTTTATTTTATCTCTAATTTTTATTATTTAAATAATGGTAATAATTAGTATTTCCCCCCTTTGTGATTAAAATCACTTAAATAGCTGGAATAAAAGAAGAAAAATATAGTTAAGTCTGAATTATTTTTTGTTTTAATGCGGAAGAAATAGGGTCATTTACTGAAACATTATAACAAATAGTCACAGGTGTTGTGAAATATGATAAGTCTACTTGTGTGGTGTCTGAGCTATGTATTTAGAATATTATGCTTAAGAGATATAGGTTATGAAAATGTGTAAATGGTTAAAACAACAAAGAAACATAAAATTATTTAATAATAAATTATCCGACAAGATAATTAATCATCTTCAAAATGTTATAAAAATGAATGGAATACACACACGTACAGTACCAAAAAAAAAATCAATTACAGAAATTAATTCAATTCGATAAAGTGTTTTGAAAACTTAAATATTCTCTGTAGTTTTCTGAAATACAAATATTATCTTTCAGATTAGATTTATCTCGCGAAGTATCAAAACACAATGCACAGCCAGCCTTAATTTTTACCATTGCGAATAGAACTGACCACAATAGAGTAGAACAAAATGAATGAGAAATGAAAAATGAAATCCTATCCAGAGTTTATGATGAAAAATCGGATTAAGTTTCAATCAGCTGTTCATAAATGTTTTAAAAAATTCCATTATTACGCTTTTCGACTTAGTCTTGGATAATCCGTTATATTATAAATGAATATTTTTCTTTCAGTTTTTTTTTTTTTTATGTATTTTGTCTGTTAAAGGTTCCAACAACTTCAGTATTAAAATAGTATTGAAGTTCTCAATAATATAGTAAACTAGCTGTTACCCGCGACTTCGTCAGCGGAGGTTTTGCAAGCAAACCCCATTTACATCCAATATTTCAATAACTATAGTAATTGTTATATAACACCTACCGCTGAAGAGAATTGCCGAAAATCAAACGAACTATTTTCAATTTGATCAATTTTCTGAAACGTTTACAATNAAAATTTTATTTTTGTTGAAATTTCATTAGCATTCCCTAACTTTTCTTTCCTATATCACATAAATTCTCCATATATCACAAGAACAATTCAATGTTTGTAATTAATTAATTAATTAAACTTAAAATTTTTATTTATTTTTTATATTAATTAATAGGAATATTAATCTAAAAATAATGTATTACGTACTAAAGACAAAATAAAATAAATATTACATTAAATCAGGAGGCAATTTGTTATTCCATTGTGCTAAACTAATTACTTAATTAATCGTATCTAAATTAATATTATATATTATTTATTCTTTTCGATTTTGTATTTAAATCATTGTAATTGATATAAAATGTGCTAACTTGGAAAAGGAATGAGAATTATTTAATAGGATTCCTAATTGTTGTATCATTTGGCATGAAGTTAGTTAGCATCCCTCTGTTTAATGAAGTAACGATGCCAGGCTGGCAGCTGACGTAAATGATTCGATTCGAATTATTTTATTAATATAATTCTTTAGTCAAAAGAACTAAATGGTGCCAATTTGATGGGAAAGTAATGACAGGTGTCACATTTCTTCCTCGTGCACTTGACATTTTGTATTTCTTTGTTTTCTTTTTTTATACTCGATACGAAAACAAAAGCAACAAAGATCTCTATTCGTGTCCATAGTTCAAGGTTAAAAAGTACAAAGTTTTGAAGAGTTGCAGATTTCCGGAGAGCGTGATTACTTTTTGTTTTATTTTTTCTAGTAATTCTGTTTCCTACATAAAGAATAACTTTTCTTGGTAATTTTCTGCGTGATCTTTCAAAGAAACTATTGATAACTAAGTTTAAAAAAATGCAAAAACATTCCTTTTTTGTTCTCAAGAAATTCTTATTTTTTCGAATGATTTTCTTAATAGACTTATTTTCATTCTCGTTAAGTGTTAAAGCTTAACTCAAACATGCTTTTTTGATATGCCAAAGTAGAAGAAAAAAATTGTGATGATATGTACTCTCTATATGATAGCTTGGATAGCATTTTTTCGACGACAACCCTAAAAATAGACAGTGGGTGACTAAAAACAGAAGGGCAAAGGAGATGGGACGGTATCGAGGTGTTAGTCATCGTATTTTATCTGTGAATATTCAAATATTTATATACAAGTTGAATGGAGATCAATTATAACGTTGAATCATATTAATTTTTTATTGGAATTTATCCCCACTCCAAAAAAACAGAAAATTATCAGATAAACTTAAAAATTTACTTTAATTTAATTTGGAAATTGGAATTATATTTTTAATGCCGAAAACTAAGCCAGCACACAAGATTTCAATAAAGAAAGAACGGAATTTAGGCCAACAAATTCCACCTGTTAACGACTTTTAATATTAAGAATGCCATAAATAAAGACTTTCCTCAAAAAAAAAAAGAGTGAAAAGACTAATAGCCTATATATTTTAAAATATAAGAAAGATTTAGCATATGTCGAGATAATCTTCGTTGCTTACCTTCTGGCAGTAATGGGAGCAAGTTACCCGTTTGGAGTCTAGGAGGACGACTGGCCTGGGTGATCTTTGCCTTGCCAAACATTTAGCTTCCACCCACCGACCAACGATTTGATAAGCACAGACCCTGACGTCTTCTTGCTAAATTTAACATCAACTGAGAAGGAATAAAACTGATGACAAGACAAGGGGATAAAAATAAGACAAGTTTAGAATGAACAATTAAACTCTTCTCAAATCTACAATCTCCAAGGAAATCGATAGAGGAAACAAACACGGCACTATCTCTTCGAAAGACTAGCCTCAAAAAAACGAACTTTAGAATTCATTTTAGTTTTCTGTGACACTTAAAAAATTTATTTTTTTTTCTATCTCATACAACAGTTTGGTTATCAGTATCTAAAGATGGAAATGAACAAAAATATAGAGTAACGAATTTTGAAGTGCAAGAAACATATTTCGGATGTACTCCGCATCAGCAAATTTTGATGGATAATTGATGTGTTTTTCTCGGTTTTTAAAGTAAGTATTATCTATTTCAGTAATTCTACGAATAAATATTATTTATTTGTAGAGTCTTTAACTAAATTTTGTATTTTTTTTTTAGTATAAGAACTACATAATGATTCTTTTATTATAAGCATGGGTATGAAACTCATTTCTTTAAGAATAGTTCTATGTTTTAAGAAGAGTAAAATCATATTTTTAACATTAATGCATAGATTTCAAAATTTTAAAGTAATTAATGATGGAGTAATAAAAATTGTGTTATTGTAAATAATAAGCAAAACAGATCAACAAAATTCTCAAAACAATAACAATGCAGCATCATAACAGATTAAATTACTAAATATGTAACACAAAGTTTAATAAAAACAAATAAAGTCATAAATTCAAGAAAAATAAAGATTTAAACAATAATAATAATTCAACCAAATCAAAATATATATTGGTTAATTTTACAAATAATCATATTACCTTGTGAAGCAATAAATATCATCATATATAACTCAAATGTTTAATAACTAAGCATCTTAAAAGACAAATTACAAATTAAATTGTCTTTTAAAGTACTGATTAACAAATTATAATCTCCCCAGAAAGAAAACTGAATAAATTGTAATAGAATTTCAATTGTTACACTATTTTAATTAAGGTTATTTCAGTGAATATTTTAGAAAATATCACTGATTCCTCAAATTAAAGAAAACTGTTGCAATTTTTTCTTTTAATGAAATCCTGTGAAATAATTGTATCATTTATTTTAATATGTATCTAAAAAAAATATTTCCTTTAAAGTAAAGAGAAAATTAAAAAAAATTAAATTTGAATATTATTTTGTGATAAAAGTTTTTACCGTAAAACCAACAAGTTTATATAAATATTTTAAATGATTTCATCCTTACAGATGCCATCATTTAAGAAAAATGTATGATAAATATTAAATACATGCAATTCCTTCCATGAAAAATATTGAAAATAAAGCAGAACAAAAAATTAAATTAAAATAAAACTTTATAACTTGTAGACATTAATTTAATATGAATTATATAAATATTCATCCAATTCAATAAATATTCATCTTGCTACATTTTTTAAATATGGTAAATTAGTTATAAATACCATTTTTATATAAAATATTTTAATTTTGTAATGAATCTGTTAAANCAAAGCCCAAAAAAAAAGCTCAAAATTTACGCTGATTCAAATTATTGTGCCATTTCATTGATTTGTGTTTAGGAATAATAAATCAGCAAAAGGTGGTAATTTGTCATAGTGCCATACTTTCCTTAAAACTGTTTGGTGCAATTTTGGAAAAAATATATCATCATGGATGCCATAGGCATAATTGACTTTCACTTGGCAAGAATTAACTGATAAATGATTGAATGGAGTGTGAAAGAAGTTATGGCAGGAAGTATCCAAGAATTCTCAATGAGAAGAGCCTATCGCTGTATCATTAGGTTGACCAAATTGTCAACCCAATCAATACAACAGGACTGGGAGATGTAGACGAGCAGGATAATAGGGAGTTACTGCAAGTTCTGGTGAGAGTTTTACCAACGACTACCTTCAAGAACTGGTAGAAGAAGAAATTCATGTAAACTGGAAAACTGTGACTCTGAAAATGAAGAACTACAAAGAATTTCTCTACAGATTTCCTTCGTAAAAATTTGGTAACAATAACCAAAATCATTGATCAAATTGTAATGAATGATTCAGATTTTGAAAGGAGTACAAAAGCAAAATGAGATATTTTGGATGCGATCTCTTGCTACTGACATTTGCTTAAGGAAAGAAAACAGCAACAAATGAAACTACACGACTTTATCACAAAAGAATTTCAGAAGAGTCAGGACTTTGGTCACAACAAATGAACTTTACATTTCTGTGTGCATATGTTTATGTGTTATTTAACATATATTATTATGCAAATTAATATAAAAATAACTTAAAAGTAAAATCTTTTGTTGCATGTTCCCCTTTCCCTATTTACTCTGTGTTAAAATTATCTCGTTTAATGCTGTTTCATTTAGAAACTTTGCCATCTAGGAACGTATCCCCCGCATTAAGCGGGGTCTTACTGTAACTAATGAAATGTAATATCAAGTTTTAATTTGATAATAGACTTTAAAAAAATTTCAATTTCTGTCATGAATATACTGAAAAATTCCAAAAAATTAATTTGAATTAATATCTGAACATTGTGATTATCATAAAATTAAAAATAAATTTATGCCAATAAAATATATAAATTAGAAGTCATATAAGTTGCACATTTAGAGTACATCTGGTCAATGGTCCCATTATAAAACACATGAAACTAATTCTTTAAGAGACTGTAAATCAGTCATAAAATCTTACTCTATTGCCAAGCTAAATATGACTAATTAATGTTCCCATTTTTAAGATACTTTCGTTTAACATAAATTACAAAAGAATGTGTTCACTAAAATGTATTTGAACATTGAGCAACTTTTAAAATAGGTCTAGATTTAAGCAATAAAATTCTCATTAACTTTAAAATGCATAAAAATAATATGTTTTATAATAAAATAAGTCATAAAACTTAAATATTTTAATGTATTCCATCAAAATATTAAATTAGAAAATATAAAATTCATTTGCTTGGAAGAAAATTTTCTGTTTTTAAGTTTTAATCTTGCATAATTGCAATAAAATTTACAGTAACATTTTTTTCTCCTCTAACATAACATATTATTATTATTATTTCACCCACTGATGAACATAAATTAAATTATAATATTGTATATTTTATTTTTCTAAAATGATGTTAATGTGACCATAATTAAAATTTATTATATGCACTTACAGAAGAATGTGTAGTCTTATTATCCCACACAAAACTATTTTTGGACATAACTACACCTTTCTCTACATACAAATTTATATTTACTATATATAGAAACAGAATTTTGATAAAATAAATATTCTATATTTCTACAGCTAAATTTCATTTGTTTCTTTTTACAAGTTACAATTTGTAGGTTTTAGTTTTTCAATAAAAACTTAAATATTTTTTAAACTTTAAACAAAAAATTGACTTTATTTAAGAAATGTATATGTTTCCAAATAGTGATTTTTAAGCAAGTTTATTTTTACTACAAAAAATAGCTAAATATAGATGATTCAAATTTTAAAAAATTTAAATTTAATTATAGTTTTAAAAATATAAATATAGGATATTTATATACTAATTTCATGAAAGTGTTTTAAACTAAGAATATTACTCCACCTCCAATAAAGTTATCAAAAATAAATTTGGAGTTAAAGAATAATTTTATTAAATTATGAGAAATTTAATGTTCCAATATTTAAACTCATTCACACAGAAAACATTAAACAGTAAAGTTCTTACATATAGTTGAATTAAAAAGCTACATAAATGCTTTAATTGAGCAGAAAAATATAAAAAGGTTCAAGTATTTTAAGTACTATAGAATCATCATCAGCTAGCTATCAAATAATTCTAAAGAGAATATAATTATATAAAGAATCAAATACATTCAGTTCTATTACTGTGATAAAAAATGATCATTAGATGAAAATAATACAAAATTTAAATTTTGAAATAGTAATTGTTTGGATAAGATTATATTACTTAATTAATTTTTAAAATTTTCTTTTGGAAATTAAGAATCACTGGTATAAATCAAAATGGAAAGAAAAAAATTATAATTTTTTGCAATAATTAGAGTTAAATAGTTTTAAAAAGTAGGAAGTACAGTAAAAGTTTATGAAAATTTTGTTAAAACAGTAGATTTCATGTATAAATAAGTAAAGGATTTCTTTACATAATATAGACTATCTTCTTGAGCATTTAATTATGTAAATACAATTGTTTAATGAATTTGTAATTGTATGAAATTTAAAAATTCATTTATTATTCAACAAAATTATATTTTGTTAGATGCCTTATGTCTTTACTGTTTTCAGTTCCATGATAAAATTACTGTATATTCTTAGGTATGGTCATGATAAAATAAGATTCTATAACTATTTCTAATTAACAGTGTATCTCATACCAAAATAAGATAATTTAATATGAAAACTTTTTAAGAATTTCAGTTATCATCAACCTACATAAAAGTTCATGGAAGTAAAACTGGAATTTTTAACTAAGAAAGCAAATTTGATAATTATATAATTGAAGAGTGTAAAAAGCGATAATCCACTTTTCAAGTTATCTTTACTGATAGGTTGCTGTACCTAATGTTCTTCTTGAGAAATGATCAGAAGTATCAATTTACACTCATAGAGGAAAAGTGATGTCAGTCAGACATCTCTATAATTTTTTGCCTTTTAAGGTATTGCACAAGAACAAACATAAAAAAAATCTTTATTTGCATTTTTCCTAGAACTAAATTTATGTGAGTTACCACCTTTTACATCCAAATCCTTCAATTACTATAAATAAATAGAATAATGTAAAACTCTAAAAGTTTACTTTCCTTTTGATATTCTAAGTTATTTTAAATCAAAACCTTTAGTTTTAAGAATTGAAAATTCTAAAATTGATGTTGAATTTAGAGTTCTAACAACTGTCAAAAATAAAAATGAAAATATGTAATAATTTACGGTGAACTTAATAATTATTTAGCACAGGGTGCCAAAATACTTGGCACCCTGGTTGAAACCCACTGATTAAACTCAGTAGATCACCCCCATAAAATATACAAATAGATTTTTAATGTTTTGAAAATGATGATATTTATTATCATCATTTTCAAAACATTAAAAATCTATTTTATGGAGGTGATTCTACTGAGTAAATCAGTGGTTTTCAAACAAGACACCAACAACACTTCAGAGGTGTTGCAAAATACAGTTCTGAGCAATGCCATAATATTTATTAAGTGCATTAGTAAATGTACAAAAATCATAATAACTCTACAGTGATAAAGAAATAGGAGTGTTACAAGAAAAAAATTACCAAGATGGCAGTACCACTATTAAAAAAAGGTTGAAAAACACTGGAGTAAATATTTACAGAGAGTGTTAAAAATGTATATGATCTATGTTTATCTTTGTCTCTTCTGCTAGTCATTCCCAATTTATAAAAGTGTAGCATGCTAAAGTTTTAATGTTTTTTATTTATAAGATTCTATTAACTATATAAATCATAAGTTATATATAAATTTGCATTTATGTTGTTACAATAATGATCATTTATAAGAACTTATTGGCTATTTCAATTCTTTATGTTACCATAAATCCTAGAATTTTAAACTGATTTGAATAAAATTCAAGAATATTTGAATTTCAGACAAATGCTTTATATCTAAATATTTTTGAATTTCATTCAAATCAATTTAAAATTTAGGATCTATAGGAAGGAAATGAAACAATAATGGCTGTCGTTTCGAATGTTCTAACATATTCGAATATTTCAATATAAAAATTATTTCAAAAGTTAATTTCTTTTAAAATTACAAAAACATGGCTCTTCAATGTAGCCTTATTCAATAATGTGCTTTTGCCAAACTGTGTACATTTCAGTGAAATTATTTGGAAAAATCTCTTGTAAAAGGTCAATAATTATCTTTAACAATGATTAATGTGTTGAGAATTATACATTGATGAAAATTTTATGAAGCATCTTACCTCGTCGCAAGCTGCACATCGAGGCCTGATTTGTTCAGCAAAATGACGTTCGCAATATAGTTTATTTTCCTTTACACAATACGTAAGGTCGACTAATAATTCTTCACAAACACAACAAACAAAACAACCAGGATGCCACGAATAGTTTTCACCCAATTTTGGAGCTTGTACTACAATATCTCCAAGACCCATAGATCCTTGACACTTGTGACATTCCTAGATTAAAAAAAAATTAATTAATTAAAAGTAAAGCAATCTATACAGAATTGTATTCATTTATATGCAAATTCTACAAAATTATGTGTATCAAAATTCTTACAATGTTCTGTTCTAAAATAGTCTTTACATAACCAATATCCAAAGCAGTTTCATTTCTGTTGTTCACAAAATCTTCATAATTGTTCTGATACTCTTTATCCAGGAACTTACAGTAAGCCAATGCTAAATCTTGTTTGGGTAACTGAACGATAAGTTGTTTGTCTCTGTATTTTTCGCCTGAACTACCAAGTCGAGGAATCTTATCTTTTGGAAGTTGTAAGAAATATTCTTCCACCTGAAATCATTAGAAACATACTCATACATGAAGACTTCAAAAATATTTCCGTAGTTGTAATTTGGTTTCCAACCTTCTCACTGTTTAGCCCTGGAGGAATCCAAGAATATCCTTCTTCTAATGTTCTTCGTTTAGAAACCACTTTGTTCGGATCCTGAGGATTTTTTAAACCAATCCTGTTTCTTACGATAACAAATTCTTCGTGGTAAAGATCGTGCGTTTCGCGAGGACATTTACAGTTATTGCATATAGTTCTTTTTAAAATAATAATAACAATAATAAAATATATAATCTTTTTTTCTCTCCAGTATATTGTATGAAGATAAAAAAAAGGCTTACCTCCAAACATGAGGAGTAAAACCTGGACAATTATCTCGACAATTCAAACATGGACGACCTTCGTCTACTTCATTCACTGATACTCCCTGAGAAAGATTTTCATAGAATATTCAAATTGATTTCAATGTAATATATCAATTTTCCATTAAAATAGACTATAAACTTTATTTATTGTAAATTTTTTAATTATTCTTTTATATTAATAAATTATTCTTGTATTATTTATGATAATAAAATGAATTTATGTTCTTAAAAAAATCCATTATTCAAGTTACCATATATATATAAATGCATATTTTATTCTAATACTTTCAAATTATATTTTAATTAAATCATTATTCTTTAATTCAATCTGGTAACAGTTTTATTTAGTTGTTATTTAAATTTCATTAAGATTATTTTCAATAATTTGACTGTAACTAACTTGTAAGAAAGAACAGGCAAAAGATACAGTAGAAATAAACTCCACTTTATTGTCTATTGTCAAATTTTTAGGATAAAATCTAGAAAAATAGCTAAAATAAATTATACATTTTTACTAAAAACTCTCAATTAATTCTAAAGACAACGGAGCATAAACGGAGCACTTTGCGAAGTTTAGCAAATAGAATTTTAACGATACTCTCAATCTCTAATTCTCTATTTGTTAAATTTGTTAAAATTGCATGGTACTGGTACGTTATTCTATCGTCCAATAGTCTAAAATAAATGACTCAAAAAATAACTTTTGATCTCTGAACGATTTATTTCTTGAAATTTTATTTAGAAAAATCTAAAAATAACAAATTTTTTCCAAATATAATGATCGATTTTTTGCTTATTTTTCTTTCAGAAAAAATTCCTGTTACTAAAGAGTAACGTACACAGTTTAAATTAGTATCATAAGAAAAAAAAGAATGCGAAGAAAAGATTTTAATACAGTTTTCAGCATAATTCATGCAGTTGTCAAGCGACATCGAGTACTTTTTCCAACCTCTAACATCTCGTAAGTCAAAATTATTTATATATTTCATAAACGATTACGAGCGATTTAGTAATTATTATTCACAAAATTAAACTCCATATTTTCGAATAATTATTACATAAATATTTAATTTTTTTATTTATATTTCGAGATCAAAATAAGTGAAATCAGTTATATATGCCGCGCGTTTAAACTCGATCAGGCAAGTGAAAAGGAGTATATATATATATGTTTTTTTTCCAGATGAAAGAAGAGAAAACAGATAAAATATTGTACTCACTAAACGACTTAACAAAACTTGAACGGGTTTTAAACAGCACATATTCATCTACTAATTATCACAGTTATCATCTTGAATAGTTTCTCAGGAATCTATATTCCACATAAGATGTTATGTACAAAACGGAGCCACTTCTCTCCAACGTCAGCAAATTTATCCAATGACCTAAAGTAACCCGTCTCATGATTATTTTTACTTTCTATAAATTTTGTCACTTTTTCTCCACGTCTTTTCATTTCCTCAAAAAGATGCTTCACTCTGCAATTTTTTCCTTTTTTTTTTTTTTCTAACGGATGCTGCCATCTAGAGAAGCTAATTCCAATTATTTTACACATTATTTGTATTTGTTACAACCTCTTGCATAACGGAACAGCACGAAAATCCATTATAAAATCCGGAAAACAATCATTAAAAGCAGTCGTGAAGGTAATTTTTTTTATAATTTGCACATTCATTAAATATAAAAAATTATCTTTGCTCCGTAAATCATATGGAAATCACGACAAGGCAATAATTGAATAAGATAAATGTTCGTGTCATATATACTTCAGCCATTAAAGATTAATACGCGATAGTTGAGATTTTTAGGCATAACAAACTCGATTCATAAAATAAAAAAGAAATTCATAAAATAAAATTTATAACATATGCTACTGGAATATTTATAAACGAGGTCATCGGGTGTATATCCTATATCATGAAGTTCAGCACTATTTAATTTTTTTTTATTCAATTGAAATCGAATCGGTCTGATATCGAATCTCAGGTCTTGCGTAAAATAATAAAAAATATCATTAATTGTGTAACTATAAAATACTGTTTTCGTCTATAAACTTTCATAAGAAACAATATTTCTCGTAGCATTTTTCCTTCTACCATAAGCAGCATCTTTATATGGAAGTGCGAAAACGATGACTAAATATAATTTGCTAAGACAATTTTCGATAGATAACCGGAAGTTAAGTAATGCTTATCCTATTCAAATATGAACAATATTCCGTTACGTAAGAGGTTGTAACAAATACAATTTTTAGTTGTATATCCGTGTCCATATTAGTTACATTAATGAGATTTATTTAATATACCCTTAATATTCCAGTCATTTTTTAGGAGTCTTTCCATCCTATGAGTACTAAAAGGGCTTTTTTTCTAGGCCCGATGTGGTGAGGAATGGGATCCCATATATCCGGGACAGACCGCAAATAAAAATTTCCTGGAGTTGCTTGTCCGGATTCGGTCCCTCAATTGATTCTAGTCCAAGTAACTTAGAGCTCAACAGTGGCTGCGTGGATAAAATACTAAACAGTAGTAGCTGGTTGTGGGTTTGCACCCCACCAATGGCATGGAATTTTCTGGGTTTTATTCGCGTGTCTAACACCTAAATAGAGGCCAGTTTTCCACAGAAAGTCCATCCGAGAGGCACTACTACTTTGGCAGATCGTCCATGTGTTGTCTTACCTCATCAAGCTAATCTAAACCTTAAGATATATATAAACAAGTATATAATTTTTTTAAAATATTCTGAATTTCTTTGTATTACGTGCGTTCGCGGCTATCCCTATTACTGTTCAGTAGTGATATCTGACACTCGTAGGCACAATATTTTAAGGAAAAGTTATCTTTTAGAATTAAGCTAATACAATAAAAAGTTATTAGATATAAATTTATCAGATATACGATGGAATATGAGGGTTCTATTTCAACTCTGCCCTTTACTAATAGGCATAATCACAATGGCATCTGTCAACACGAAAGAAGAATGTGGTTCATTACATCGAGCTATTACCCACGAACAGTTTTAAAGATTCAGATTGAATTCGAACCTGGATTCTTCACAGTGAAGCACGATTTCTTATCTCTCAGGCGATATTAAATGAATTAATTTTTAACATTAAAGAAATCAGAATTTCTAAGTCTTTTAACTAAATCAGATGTTTAATTTTTACACATTTAATGTATCTTATTTGCGTAAAATAAGATGTCAGTTAACAAAAACCATTTTCGTGAATTATTTTTAATCCCCGTGAAAACAGAATTGTAATATGTATGTTCCTATTGTGTATTATAATACAAATATATATAAGATAATTAGACGTTTTCTCGAATAATCTTTGACTTAGGTCTATCCTTCATTCACTTGTTTAAAAATTAAATCAGGAATAATATGAGAAAAATAGGCGTTACGTTTTTTGGTTTGTAACTCAATCACGACATGTTTTTATTTTTGCATTAGACATGTAATAAGAAACAACTTTTTAGGAAAATTTAGTATAAATTTCAGTAAATAAATGAAAAAGTTTGAAATTGTAACATTGTAGCCACTCTTAAACAATACATAATTAGTCATCATATAAGTTTACTAAGGAAAAAAATAAAGTCCTTTAAAATTTTTATAAGTCAAAAAATATAGGAAAAAATGGATTATTAAATTATCTTGAAATTTTCTTCAAGTATAATGCCTGTATCTTTTAGGCTTGAAACAAGTTTTAGATCTTTCTTTCTTCTCCTAAGAAAGATAAGAAGAACATTATAGAAGCTCGGTATACAATAGAGACGAAGACTAATAAGAAACTAGCAGAATTTCCAAATTACAGATAAGTTCACCAGTGGATAAATGGATAAAACCACTGAACACTAGTAGTCGTGGGTTCGCATCTGACCGACGAGCCAGCCGCGTGGAGTTTTGCGTGTCTACCTAAATAAGAGCCAGTTTTCCACAGAAAGTCCACGCTTTTTGCAGATCGCATAAGTGTTATGTTGCCTTATCCCATCAAATTATATGTAATAATTCAAGGATGCCAAAATGAATCTTTCACAATAAAAATATTGAAAATTATGTTTACATTTTAAAAATATGTGAAAATTTGTTTCGAAGTTTAGGCATATCAAGAAAAATTCCAAATTATTAATGATTTGCAATAAATATTAAAAGAATTACACGTTATCATTAATATATTGTTTATATAACATGAAAATTGCATAATTGTCGGCATGGCATGACGTTTCGATATTCACGTTTTAATCATAGCAAATAGGAATAAATACATTTTTTATAAGGCAAGAAATTTATTATTTAAAAAACATGTAATTGTTTTTAATTTAACAAATTACATAATACGACATAAAAGACAGTTTCATTCCAAACAAATGCAAAAGAAATTACATTTCGTGATAAGAATTGAGAGAAAAAAAGAAAAGATTTAGTTCAGAACATTAACATTCTCTGGACGTGTCTCTTGTTCTTGCCGCAATGAGAATATTAATAGGTCTACACACATTTACGTAATGTCATCTTCGAGTCCATTACCAGAAAAACTGATTATTTTCTAAACAAATAAAAGGATAGCGCATATAAATTACTTTAAACCTTAAAAAAAATGCATTACAAGAAGCTTTGAACCTACTTACAAAATGTTGTTAAGTTTTACGAAGTTGCGCATTTAAATATTAATATCAAATATTATAAAGAATTTTTGAATTGAGAGTGTAATATTTGTAGATGTTGAAATTTGTCATTGCTGTCGGCGCAACTCGAATTTGTTGACCTAATGCCCAGGGCACTAATTCGGAGAAACATTAGAAACATTATTTTCACAATACGCGTCTTGAATTATAATTACATTAAATTCTTAAAAATCAAATAAACATTTTACTTTAAAATAATAATCTGTAATTAACGAAAAACGAGTAGTCAAAGTAATTTTTATACAAAAACTTTATCATAATGTTAATACTGTAAATATATGCGAGTACAGCTACATCCGTTGTAAATCAAACCCACCAATGGTCCAGTGGATAAAATTACCAACATCAGTCGAGGGTTTGCACCTGACAACGGGATGGCCACGTGGAATTTTCCAGGTTTTCTTCACGTGTCTAATACCTAAATAGAGATTAGTTTCTCATAGAAAGTTCTCCCAGGAGGCACTACCACTTGGCAGATCTTCCACATGTTGCGTTGCCTTATCCAATCAATCTAACCTTTTGTAAATTACGATTCATCGAATTAAATTTCTAATTAAAAAAATATATAATTTCATGTTAATATAATTAAAGACAATTTTATGTATATTTTCAATTTATGCAACAAATTTTCTCTGAATTGAATGAAGTTTATTGTAAGTAAATTGTAAACTTTCCTTCTATGTTTCTGTATCCATCAGGTCAAGAAATTGTATCTTATCGTGATGATACACGTGTATTTATTCATTAAAATAAAATTATAAAAACTTTGGAACACAAAATGAAACAGAAAGTTCGCTCCTTCCAAAGGGCTGGCCACGTGGAGTTTTCACGATTTTTTCACGTGTCTAACACCTAAACAGGGGTCAAAAAGTTCTCCGGAAAGTGTCGCCCCTCGGCAGATCGTCAATGTGTTGCTTTGCCGTATCTCACCAAACTCTCTGGTAAAATGAATAAATTAGTTTACTAGTACCTGTACTGTACGTCTTCACAATATCCATTAAAGCTGCATAAATGTGAGTGACATTTCTAGTTTTAAATTATTGATATTAAGGACAGAATTTTTACTCTAATTTCTATGATTCTAGAACAATTGTTTATAGAACAAAGGTCATTGGGAAAAAAGTATATATATTCATAAATCCTGAATTCCTCTAGTGAATAAGATATCAAGTAACTATGATGCAACTTACAAAATAGATTTCTACAGTAAATTATACGCGGGGATTACATTTTTTTCGGTTATTAGATAGTCAAATCATCCGTAACGTTAATTGATATCAAATTATATTGATATTTTTCGTCTGTAGTCTCTAATAGGAAATTTAATACACTTGTTTAATTTAAAAATAAAATTACAGATGCATTATCGCGATAGGCCTGTAATTTCGAAGCGTTAAACCTGTTATAAGATATTTAATAATCATTTATAACATTTGTATATAATATATTTGAAGGGTATTATATTTGTTTTTTACATACCCCAACTGAGATAATTAAAATAATTAAGTATATTTAATCTGATGCTAATTAGAGATAAAATTAAATAGAAAGTAAATATGGAATATTAAAAAAGGGCAGCATTTTTTTGACGTCATTCCTTTCTATCAGATCACTTCCATAAATGGCGAGCAACGGCGTGACGACGTAACACGCCCACCTGTTACTTTATCACTTGTTGCCACTTTCTTCCAAGAACATCCACCTCCACGAAAACCGTCTCGTGTTAAGTGAAACTTCATATAATTTCCCACCGCAAACAAATTAAAAAACTAGAATTTGGCTCCATTGTCAATGATACAAAAAGAAACAATGGGCGGGGAGTTGAAATCGATCATTCGATTCTCATCGATCGCATCTGCTCGGCCTTGAAACGAGTTCGTGACAGCCTTCGTGACGTCACGAGAATAAAGTAGGCGAGAGAGAAACAATCAAAACCTTTTTTTTTTAAGTTTTTGCTTGCTATTTTATTGTCGAAAACATTCCCTTTGCGTAGGTTTGTTTGCGAGTACGAGTTATGCAGATATGATTGATGTGGGAAGAGAGTTGACCTTTGTCTTAATTTCGTCGATTGTGCTTACAAAATAAAATAAAAAACAAATAAAAATGATATGAAGATAAGCAATTGCCAAAACTCGATTCGTTCTCTCTCGGCTTATTTTTAAATTAATCTTAATTTGACGAATAAATAAAATATTAAATGGCGAGTATCAGCAATTTTTGTGAAGAAACGTTTATAAATTTTATTCCAGAAAAATATAAAAGGAAACGCTTTTAATCACTACATAACGGATGTTTATTTATTTTATATTTGATATTGTACTGTACTGTACTTCCTCCATATTAATTTTAATTAATATACAGTGAAATTTGGATCTTTTATATACTCTTTTGATGGATTTCGGGAAGAAACTGAAGAATTGGCATGTAAATAAGATGTATAAAACTGTAAATATGCAAACCTTTAACCTGAATAAAATACAAGTTTCGTATATAACAAGTTTTTTAAAAATTTATCATCATAGAACCTACATAAAAATAGGCCAATAATTTTTAATAAGTATTGAAAAAAATTAGATGTGACTATCGAATTTTAATTTTTCATTTAAAGTTATTCATATGTTAATAATTTTCTCGAAATTCTACTTTATATTACCTGTTTCATTTGTTTACTCTATTAATAACAGTTAATCAAGCATACATTAAGCTCTTGGGCTTGTTCTTCTGATAAGTAATCTTTGTATGTGATCGCTTTTATATAGAATCTTTAAGGAAAATCATTAAAAATAAAAATGGACGAAGTATTTTTAAGTATGTCAGCTCAAAATGATGATGAAAATAACGTTTTTTTTTCCTGAATTCTTTCATTGTAAATGAAGAGGAATTGGCGTATTCCAGCTAAAACTTGGAATAAGATAGAAATTC